ACCAAATGGTATAAATTCAGCTTAAATTTAATTATAAAAAATTTAAAAATTCGGCAATAATTCGACATGCCGAATGACCAAATTTTGACTAGTATAAATTCAGGGAAAAAAATCTTCACCAAAATAATCAATACCAAATTTTCTAAAATTATCAAAGAAAACAATATTTTATCTGAAGCTAACTTTATAGGACTTTTTAATCAAAACATATTTGAGCTCCTCTTTCTAATAACTTCTTTTATAAATCAAGCCAAAAACTTAAACAAATACATCTGAATAGTTTTTTTTGATATTGTAAAAGCCTTTGATTCAATACTTCTCAATAGCTTCAATAAAGCCATAACCAGAATAAATCTTTTATCCAAATTCAAAAATATATCTCTAAATCTTTTCTTAAACAGAACTACTGAAATTAATCTTAGTTACTATATCTCTAGCAAATTTCAAGTTGATAATGGCATTGAATAGGATAAAACCCCAGCCTACTCTAATGGATAATATTTTATAACCCATTGATATCCAGACCATACATGTGGTCGTATTACCATAAAAGGAAATTTGATCGACAATACGATTCCGAATTAAATACGAATTCCAATTATTTACTATATGTTACTTAGTAATTCGACCATAATACGGTTTTTGAAAAATGTCCGAATTCAATTCCACCACATGTATAGTCTGGACTAGAGTGTTCTTTGTACTATGGAGTCTATTATGTCAGGATGATTGTAGGCTTTTATCAGAGCTAGACCAAAAGTCTTTTCTTGTGCAACCTTTTCTGCTTCGACCTATTTTTAGTCCGCAATCATTAGAAAGACCAGAGGCTTCATCTTCATGCAGCCTAGCTAAATTTGGTCAGGATCCAGATGTTTGGATATAACATTTATAGAAAAATCAATAAATCCACAAATGAAGGATAATTTTATATGTTTTTGTCTCCTGTGGATATTGAACTAGAGACATGCATTTGAAAACCAGGGAGCACTACCTACTATACTATTGATCTACTAATCAATAATTATGAAAATTTTTATAAATTGAAATAAAAATATAATTAATAATATATGCTAATTGATATAATTAAATAAAACAATTAGTCAAAGTTATTATTTGATTCTAAAACTGATATTATATTCTTAATTGGTTTAAGAATAAGAATCCTAATGATTCTGTGTTTGATTCTATTCGATTCCAACTCTTATAGTAAATTTAATAGATGGGTTATAACCCACTTATATTTTTTATATATATGAAAAGGAAATTTCATGGTCATATGAGTATATGTAATGATGATCCCAAAAATAACAAATCTGAGGAAAATGAGATATCTGTAGTTTATTTCTTTCTTTGATTTCATTATTTTATTTCAGATAGTTAAGATAGTTAAGAAATTAGATATAGTAGTGATAGTTTAAATAATTGATATATTTGATATAATTTTTTGAGACTAGTATGTATATAAGCAAGAGAAAAAGTCCAAATAAAATTAACAAACTGCTTAACAACTATTTGTTCAAAACAACTATTATACAAATGTTTGACATTTGAAAGTAGAACTGTGACCATAAAGGAATTTGGAAAAGTTCAAATAGTTGATATTGTGAATGTCCATTGCTATAATAGAAACTTTAGTATAGTTTAAGTAAATAAATGTGCATATTAATGAATGGAATTGAAGTTTATTTTGTAGAAAGAAGAAGGATACTCAGATCAAATTATTACACCTCAGCCTTAAAAAACTAAGTATTAAAGAGGACTTCAAGAAACCCCTCACATATATATGCAAGTTTATACGAGTCTATACAATTTCAATTTTCAGGACCATATTTAAAAATTGAAATCATTTGATGAATATCTTCAAAAATTTCCTTGTTGTAATAATTTTTATACAATTATTATTTAAAAAATTAGGCTTATTATTCAAAATCTAATAATTAAATTTCAAAATTAGTAATATATATGATATATAAATTAATCAAAATTTAAATATTTATATTCTCAAATACAGATCCAAGTTTAAAAATTGATTCATAATAATCATATATCATTGACTATCTTATTTTTGTTGATATTTTAATATCATCACTCTTTATTTTTAATTTATTAATAGATTCGTGAAGTGTACTCATCCCTTGATGTGATTTCAAAAAATATAGCTAATATTTAATACTTGTTAATTGTATTAATCACAAATTAATATCTATATATATCTTTTGAAATTAAATTGATATAATATGCAATATATCACACAAATATTTTTCACTAATTATTTTTTATGCAACCTTGCAATTTCCAGCCCTATCTGTAATAAATCCAGCAATTTTGTTTTGTTCAATAATATTGATAATTTTTTCTATATAATTTGCCAAGAACTCTTCAGTAATACTCTCTAATAAAACATTTTCAATAGTCCAAAGATACTTGTATCTATTAGGTATTATTAATATAAAATTATATAATTGCTGATTTCCTGAATCTGTTCATCCAGCCAAAACAATAGTAATGTTTTTTTCTGATTATAATTTTTTTTGGATATTTATTGTGATTATAGTTACTTCTGAATAAAGAATATTGATTGAAATTATTATACAACAAGATGAATTATATATTGGTCAAAGTTATTTACAAAACTCAATAAAAAATAAATGATTTGTTATTACAAAAAAAATTAAACAAGTAACAAAAAATCTTTCCAATGCTAAATTAATTGTATCTCTTCTAATATTTGTTAATTTGGTACTTTTCATAAAATTGCTTAATATGAATTGTTTAGGATCTAATTTGATTTTTTTGATTTTTTCTTTTCAACAGTTCTATTAACAATTATCTTCAAAAATTTATTTTGGATTTCAATAGAACAAAAAACATACTTACTTGTTAAATAGTCTTCAAAAATATCTGATTTATCACAAGTATATTGTTTTTTACAATAGTGAAAAGTATTTATGACTTTATTAATTGCCTTTTTATGAAAATTATTCCAGACTATTGATTCTAATTAACCAACTACATTTTTGAAAAAAAAAGAAACTATTTGATTATTATCACTTTACATTTTGGATAGATGGATAGAGAAATAATATTTTTGCTTTTTTTTTAATTTTTTAAAAATTTAATTAGTTATTTATTTCTTTAATATTTTATTGATTAATAATTGTGATACAATTATAGCATTACAATACAATTGCATCATTGCAGTACAATTGTATCATTGTAACACAATTGCATTATTGCAGTATAATTGTGTCATTGTAACACAATTGTATCATTGTAATACAATTGTATTATTGCAATACAATTGTGTTATTGTGATACAATTGTGACAAATTATATACTATAATTGTATCACAATTGTATTATTGCAATATAATTGTATTATAATAATTTAATTGTGACATTATGACATAATTGTAACAAATTATATTATTGTATCACAATTGCATTATAATAATTTAATTGTGATAAATTTATATAATTGTATTACAATTGCAGCTTATGTTATATTAATTGCATTATTATAAAAATTTTAACTGTCGCTGGACTAATATTCCCACCGAGTTCACGGATCTCCATCGCTACACTATAACACATGTCGTCAAAGGTTAGATTTCTTTCGGTCATGTATCTATCGAAGAGTTCTTTAAAGCGGATCCGAATAGTTGAGGAAATATTTGCGAATCGAATCCGCTCAGATCCTGCAATCAGAAATAAATATTTTATGATTAATTACCTGCCCTCTCGTTACTTCAGATGCTTCGCATCCTCACTTGAAGTCGGAAAAAAGATAGTGGTCACTAATATACTTGATGAATTTGTAGATGAACGAATCGGAGATGAAGAATGAACGGAGGATGATGAGACCTCGCTTGGTCGACTGGATCTACTTCTATTCACTCTTTGGGTGAGTGCATATTGTTGATTGCTTTCACTCTGAAGCGTTGTGATCATCCTGCCGACTGATTCGAAATCAGTTGCAATGATGATCAGGTAATCGGATCAGATAATCAGTATTGTGATCGAGAAGTATTTTAGACAGACAAAAAAGATAGCAAAAATAATGAGGGTGCAACTATGCTGAAGTTTCTCACGTCTGTTCTAGTCAATTGGCGGTGAGAGCTTCCTTTGGTATATTTACCTAGGAGACGCCATACTTCATGTCTGTTCCAGTCAATTGGCGGTGAAGTTATGAGTTGCTTGGTGACTAACAACTATCCGTGTCTGTTCCAGTCAATTGGCGGCGGTAGTTGATCCAATTACTTTGCTGAAGTTTCTCATGTCTGTTCCAGTCAATTGGCGGTGAGAGCTTCCCTTGGTATATTTACCTAGGAGACGCCATACTTCATGTCTGTTCCAGTCAATTGGCGGTGAAGCTATGAGTAGCGGATATTCAAGTTATTTCTTGGTGGTCATCAGCCTCTTATCAACATACATTTTTACATACACACTCACATTTAAGAATTAGAAACTTGATTTGGACGAAACTTTATTGATTTTTAAGTAAAACGAAACTAGAGAGGGAGGATCTTAGGCCATTTAATGCGAGTCCCAGTATCAAGTTATTTCTTTACTCTCGAATAATTTCTATAACTAATTGTTTTATTTCTATCGCTATTGCCAACTACTAGATTTCTGAAATAAATTATCAAACTCATCTCTCCAGAATCTTCGTCTATCTATATCACTCCCACTATGTAATAGATTATTTCCCACAAGAGAACTTTCCCGAGATGAAATGATTTCGAATTTATAGGAAGAATTTTTGAGATTAGCAATGAGATAAAAAAAAATAAATAAGGACTTTCGATTCACACCGCTATAATTCTTTTTAATGATATTCCACGCCGTCATAATATTTATCGTCAGCGCCAAACATGTGATGATAGTCCAAGATTTTCTCGAAGATCAAAATGCCGATATATAACAAGAAAGTAATATGCCATTTTATTTTGGAACACCTATAGAGGCGGGGAAAATCGATTAATACCGTTTGTTCGATTGTTGGATATGGTGATTTAAATAATGGTAGGTTTGAATGTTTTGCTTAATTTTTATTTGCACAAGGCGGATAAAAGGATTCATTATAATTAAGGCCTCACTTTTTTATGATTTGTAGTGCGTCTAAGGATAAATTTTTGGAATAAATATTTAGGAAAATTACGTTATTATGACTTATTACGAAAATCAGATCAACGCGCACTCCTTAATCTTTATAATAGAAAATTTTAACGTTATTCCGTATAAAAAGATATCAAAGGGACATCGGTTTAATCATTAATTCAATGATGAAAGTATATGCCAGAATTTTCGATCAAAAAGACATGACACCTCATTGCAATTATACAAAATCACATGATGGTTAAACCAATGCATTGCAGATAACTGCCAGGAATACCATGATACTCGGTATTTTTGTTTTTTCTTTCGTCTATTAATAAACGTAGTTGATCGTCAGTCCACATATCGATTGTAAAAAAAAATGCGACTTAACTAGGTACACTTATTTTCATTAGCATTCACATAGTGGTTATACATGAAAAAAGTTTATCATGTCTACATCGCACCTTCATCATACCTTCATCACATCTTCAACGCATCTATATTATAAGAATGTAAAAGGAAAATTGGACCGGGCGATCCTAAATGAAAATTTCATATCGAATAACCAGGAATAGAATTATATCCGAAATTTTATATGGCGTAGAAGGTAAGTGATCAATATTAATATGCGCAGATTGAACGATGATCCAAAGGATCGAGTCTTCGACTCTCCGATTTTGTATAAGTTTCACCGGTATTTAAATCAT